CACAGTTCTCCATGTCAAGTCAGACTCCAATCCTTAAAGGTGACACAGCAACAAAAACCATTTGAGGATCTCGCCCATCCCCCCATGTCCAGAGCTAAAATAAACATATTCATTTGGAATCTGAAGCAGTTATTGTTGCAAGTGTTTTGATTGGAAGTAATCGGTGGGTGTGTCCCTGCCGGCGCGCACGCCAAAATTGGCGTTTGTTTTCAATTAAAGGCTCTGACATTTGACCGATCATTTTCTAGCTCATGTAGCCAGGAATTCTAAACCTCCCCAGTGTTACAATAACATTGTATCTGTACCATGACACCTCTAATTGTCTGTACAGAGCGGAATTAAAGGGGAAGTAAAAACCGAGAAATAATACATTCCATTATAAATACACGGCTCAAAAAATGAAAGGAGCACTTTGAAAACATATCAGATCTCAATGGGGAACCATCTCCTGCTGGATCTCTATACTGACATGGACGTGGTGATGTGTTAGGAACATAAGGATGCCCCATCGTTTGATGGAAATGAAAATGATCGACCTACAGAGGACTGAATTCAAAGACACCCCGAAAATCAAAGTGAAAGAATGATGCAGCAGGTGAGTCCATTTTGGTGAAATGTCATTGCAGCAACTCAGAATGGTCCTCAGTAGTTTGTATGGCCCCCACGTGCTTGTATGCATGCCTGACAACATCGGGGGAGGGTCCTAATGAGACCACGGATGGTGTCCTGGGGGATTTCCTCCCAGATCTGGACCAGGGCATCACTGAGCTCCTGGACAGTCTGAGGTGCAATCTGGTGGTGTCGGATGGACCGAAACATGACATCCCAGAGGGGTTCTATTGGATTTAGGTCAGGTGAGCGGGGGGGCCATTCAATGGTATCAATTCCTTCATCCTCCAGGAACTGCCTGCATGCTCTCCCCACATGAGGCCGGGCATTGTCGTGCACCAGGAGGAACCCAGGACCCACTGCACCAGTAGGAACCCAGGACCCACTGTACCAGGAGGAACCCAGGACCCACTGCATCAGGAGAAACCCAGGACCCACTGCACCAGGAGGAACCCAGGACCCACTGCACCAGGAGGAACCCAGGACCCCCTGCACCAGGAGGAACCCAGGACCCACTGCACCAGGAGGAACCCAGGACCCACTGCACCAGGAGGAACCCAGAATCCACTGCACCAGGAGAAACCCAGGACCCACTGCACCAGGAGGAACCCAGGACCCACTGCACCAGTGTAGGGTCTGACAATGGGTCCAAGGATTTCATCGCGATACCTAATGGCAGTCGGGGTGCCATTGTCTAGCCTGTAGAGGTCTGTGTGTCCCTCCATGGATATGCTTCCCCAGACCATCACTGACTCACCACCAAAACGGTCATGCTGAACCATGTTACAGGCAGCAGAACGTTCTCCATGGCTTCTTCAGTCCTTTCAAGTCTGTCACATGTGCTCAGGGTGAACCTGCTCTCATCTATGAAAAGCACAGGGCACCAGTGGTGGACCTGCCAGTTGTGGTGTTCAATGACAAATGCCAATGAGCTCTATGGTGCTGGGCAGTGAGCACAGGGCCCACTAGAGGATGTTGGGCCCTCAGGCCACCCTCATGAAGTCTGTTTCTGTTTGTTTGGTCAGAGACATTCCCACCAGTGGCCTGCTGGAGGTCATTTTGTAGGGCTCTGGCAGTGCTCATCCTGTTCCTCCTTGCACAAAGGAGCAATTACTAATCCCGCTGATGGGTTAAGGACCTTCTACAGTCCTGTCCAGCTCTCCTAGAGTAACTGCCTGTCTCCTGGAATCTCTTTCATGTTCTTGTGACTGTGCTGGGAGACACAGCAAACTTTCTGACAATGGCACGTATGGATGTGCCCTCCTGGAGGAGTTTGACTGCCTGTGCAGAGATTTGAGTCCACAGCAGCCACTGCACAGGCAGGAAACATGCATTTCCTTCCAGCCTTGCACTTCAGAGACAGGAAACAGTCCTTGAACATGTTATTTTTAGTTTTATTAGGGGTATTGAACTTGGATGGGGATGAGGGATACATGGGATGCCCAAGGAACTGTTAAACTGAGGACAACTTCCTGAAATTATGTGCAAGTGCTCAAAATGGTTTCTCTTCTTTGGAGAGCTATCCAGCCTCTCTTGGCATATTACCTCCGACCCCAGATGAAAACTCCTCTTCATCCAGCTGCCTGAAGGAATCCCTGGCTAAGAGGGCCTAGAATCTGCCACCTTAAGATCAGCAGTCCCAGATGGGGTCTAGTCAGGTTTCCCACCAGAGTGTCCTCTCCCCTTATCTGGCTCAGGGGTGTGGGGTTACTCTTAAGGGCTGTCTTGACCCCATGCCAGGCCTCCTGCTTGGGGATTGATCAGAATCCCTTAAGAGTGCAGACTAGCTCCTCCTCACCCCCACCCACTCAGTTCTATAGATTTCTCCAAGTCTCTAGATCACGGGGAGGTATCAGTGAGCTCATCTGCAGTGCCTCTCTCAGCCCTTACCCAAATTTGACCCTCTGACTATTTCTCCCTGGCTGCTACTCAGCCTCCTGCTAAAAAAAATAATTAGCTAGCTCCCCCTGGCTAACTAAGAGGGTGCTATATATGCAAATAGCAGAATGCCTGGATGGGTGGATGTCAGTGTGTCACGATCGCACAATCGCCGCCACCAACATGCGATAATTGCACGACCGCGACCAACAATAATACGTCACGCCCGCGGCGGCAGACCCCAGACCTTCTCAGCAAACTCGTGACCGAAGGACCGGCCGATCTAAAACCGCAGTGTGACGCGCATAACAAGGCCACACCCAGCTGCACCCTGCACAGCGATTGTCCAGCTAATGGGCTACAATTGGTGCCTGCAGCCTGAATGCGCTTGTTACTGGTTCGGGTTAATTACGCAACTATCCCACTGCTGCCACCAATATGTCACGGTCGCACAATCGCCGCCACCAACATGCAACAATCGCACGACCGCGACCAACAATAATACGTCAAGCCCGCGGCGGCAGACCCCAGACCTTCTCAGCAAACTCGTCACCGAAGGACCGGCCGATCTTTAAACCAGCAGTGTGGCGCGCGTAACAAGGCCACACCCAGCTGCACCCTGCACAGCGATTGTCCAGCTAATGGGCTACAATCGGTGCCTGCAGCCTGAATGCGCTTGTTACTGGGTCGGGTTAATTACGCAACTAATCCTCTACTGCCACCACCACTTTTGTCGGAGACTGGGAAACTAATATACACTATAATGATTGAAAAGTCGCCTGTCCAATACGGTCACCGCAGGCCAATTGGGCAGAGGATTAAACAAACACAGTAGCATCTCTTCAAAGGCAGGAATTCGTGAATTGCAAGTAAGCGCTTAGAAACTGTTAGGTTTTGTGAGGTTACAATCTCTTTCAATTCCAGGGAGAAACTGCCTTGTATGTTTTATATGATGGGTGAGCCTATGCAAGTTCTGGGGTCACGCTGCCTTATCAGGACTTTAGGTGAGGAAGTCTACACTTTCGCAGACTCCCTGGCACCGGACTAAGGATGCCTTAACCTGGGTTGACCCACACCATCTGTCAGGTTATAACGTTTGCCTCCCAGGAAGGGAGGGGGTAGGGAATGAAGGACTGAGGAATACTTCTAAATAAAAAAAAGGGGAACTCTGTGTCCCACTCTGATGAGCAAGTTTGCTACACATACACTGATCCATGAGCCAGGCTGATGCAAACAGTTGATGTAAGGAGGCAGTCTGATAGGGACAATCCATGTAAGGGGGCACTCTAATGGGGACACCCAATTTAAGGGGGCACTCTGACGGGGACACCCGATGTAAGGGGGCACTCTGATGGGGACTCCCGATGTAAGGGGGCACTCTGATGGGGACACTTGATGTAAGGGGACACTCCGATGGGAACACTCGATGTAAGGGTGCATTCTGATGGGGACACCCAATGTAAGGAGGCACTCTGATGGAGATAATAGTTCATATGTAAGGGGACACTTCAATGGGGACAATTGATGTAAAGGGGCACTCTGATGGGGATACTAATCATATGGAATGGGGTACTCTTTTGGGAACAATTGATGTAAGCGGGCACTCTGATGATTAGCCCCGATGTAAAGGAGTACTTCTGATATAAGAGGTCAAAGGTTCTGTTTAATCATTCTAATCTATTGATAGTGTTTCCCAGGGGACACTGTGTGACAGACTGTTAGTGACTCCCCCACAGTGTTGACATTATGCCCCCTGATTTTTTTTTTTGCACCTCCAGATCTGGCTTTGGTCACAGGTGATGCTGAGCCTCCACGACTGAAAGAAATTGAAGCCCAATGCATGAATGGAGTGGCCCAGGGACAGTCAGGCTGGGGAGAGAAAATCGCTAGATGATGCTGGATGTCCTTCGGCCAGGAAATGGGGTGGGCTCTATCTGACTTGCTGCGGCTTCTAATGAACATTGTGAGAAGCAGTGGGCTGGTTCTTAGGAGGAGTTATGCAAATATCAAAATGCCTCCATGAGTGGATGGGAGTCTGAAGGACTGGAGATTCTCAGGCAGAATACATTTGCACGCAGATGATCCCAGTTAATGCATATATGTGATGATGAGTTTCCATGGTTGAAAGAACTGAAATCCATTGAAGAAAAAGAGGTGGCCAGTCATGTTGGGGAGAAAAGGGCTAGAACAGTCATTCTCATCCAGAGTTCTGTAGAACCCTATGGTTCCTCCAAAGGTTGCTAAGGGTTCCTTGAGCTGTGGCAATTGATGTTCCATATGATGGCACCCAGATAGGTCTGGGTCTGGTGCCACTTGCCAGTGCAATGATACCAATGATCTTTGTAGTAGTTTGGAGGGGAGTCTTGTGACCACCACTGTAAGGGGAGCACTTTTCCCACTCAATTTCAGCAGGGGTTCCCTGAGACCTGGACATTATTTCACGGTTACCTTTGGGGTAAGGAGATTGAGAAACGTTGATCTAGATGAGGGGTCATCAAACTTTTGGAGGGCCGGACTGTAGTTTAAAAAAAAAAAAAACTATGAACAAATGCGGACATAGTACATGAGATGACCAGAGACTGCGGACATAGTACAGGAGATGACCAGAGACTGCGGACATAGTACAGGAGATGACCAGAGACTGCGGACACAGTACAGGGGATGACCAGAGACTGCGGACAGTACAGGAGATGACCAGAGACTGCGGACACAGTACAGGAGATGACCAGAGACTGCGGACACAGTACAGGAGATGACCAGAGACTGCAGACATAGTACAGGAGATGACCAGAGACTGCAGACACAGTACAGAAGATGACCAGAGACTGCGGACACAGTACAGGAGATGACCAGAGACTGCGGACACAGTACTGTGGATGACCAGAGACTGCGGACACAGTACTGTGGATGACCAGAGACTACGGACACAGTACAGGGGATGACCAGAGACTGCGGACACAGTACAGGGTATGACCAGAGACTGTGGACATAGTTCAGGAGATGACCAGAGACTGCGGACACAGTACAGGAGATGACCAGAGACTGCGGACAGTACAGGAGATGACCAGAGACTGCGGACACAGTACAGGAGATGACCAGAGACTGCAGACATACTACAGGAGATGACCAGAGACTGCGGACACAGTACAGGAGATGACCAGAGACTGCAGACATAGTACAGGGGATGACTAGAGACTGCGGACAGTACAGGAGATGACCAGAGACTGCGGACATACAACGGCGGTGGGAATACTGGGCTGGCCGCTCCATAAGACGCACAGACATTTCCCCCCAAGTGTGTCTTATGGAGCGAAATATGCGGTAAATGCAGGACACCTTGTTGGGTCAGATCTGTGTACAATGTAAAGAGAGAGAGGGGGGAGAGATACGGAGGGGAGAGAGAGAGAGAGAGCGAGGGGGGGGAGAGAGAGGGGGTAGAGAGAGAGAGGAGGGGGGAGAGAGAGCGAGGGGGGGGGGGTAGAGAGAGATGGGGGAGTGAGAGAAGAGGGGGGAGGGAGGGAAGGAGAGAGAGAGGAGGGGGAGAGAGAGGGGGGAGGGGGAGAGAGAAAGAGGGGGGAGGGGAGAGAGAAAGAGGGGGGAGAGAGAGAGGAGGGGGTAGAGAGAGAGAGAGAGGAGGGGGGTAGAGAGAGAGGAGGGGGAGAGAGAGAGGAGGGGGAGAGAGAGAGGAGGGGAGAGAGGAGGGGGGAGGGGGAGAGAGAGGAGGAGAAGAGAGAGAGAGGGGGGAGAGAGGAGGGGGGGAGAGAGAGAGGAGGGGGGAGAGAGAGAGGAAGAGGGGAGAGAGAGAAGGGGGGAGGGAGAGGGAGAGAGAGAGAGGGGGGAAAGAGAGAGGGAGGAGATCAATCATCTATTGCACTTATCTAGGGTCCGTGGCCGTGATACCCGACATGCAGCGATGGAGTCTCCCCTCTTGCTCCCCTTCTTCATGGTCAGCTCTAGGCTCCGCCGTCCAGCCGTGACGGTTGCATGCACTGATCAGAATAGATGGCCGGTTGGCTGCAGAGAGGCCAGGTGAGTGGTGTGGGTTCATAAGCCGAGCCCACCTTCCCCTGTTCTAGAATTGCTGATCCCGCCCTCCTGCCTCCCGCCGAGCCTTGCCGAGCTCTCCTGACCTGCCAAACCCTAGTCCAGTGGTGGCGAACCCGTGGCACGCGTGCCACAGCCGGCACACCGAGCCTTATCTGTGGGCACGCCAGGAGAATCCAGCGGCGCGCTGTCTTCCCGGATGTAGTGTGCGTGACAGCCGGGTCCCAAGTGCGCATGCACAAGAAGCAGTGCTCCTTGTGAATGGTAAGGCGGTACCTGGGACACATGACAGATCCAGAAGCCGCCGGACCAATCACAAAGCGCAGCGCTTCTCGCGCATGCGCACTGGGCATCCGGCTGTCCGACGAGCGCCCACACTACAGAAGCCGGGAAGACAGCGCGCGGCTGGATCGAGGAACAGGTAAGATAAAAAAAAAAAAAAACTCTGCGGAAGTAAGAGCGGTACCTGTCAAATTCAGGTACCCGCTCCCCACCTCCCCAAAGGTCCCAGTCATCCCTGTGCTGTGTCCCCAGTCAGTCATCCCTGTGCTGTGTCCCCAGTGTGGTCATCCCTGTGCTGTGTCCCCAGTCTCTGGTCATCCCTGTGCTGTGTCCCCAGTCTCTGGTCATCCCTGTGCTGTGTCCCCCAGTCTCTGTCATCCCTGTGCTGTGTCCCCAGTCTCTGGTCATCCCTGTGCTGTGTCCCCAGTCTCTGGTCATCCCTGTGCTGTGTCCCCAGTCTCTGGTCATCCCTGGCTGTGTCCCCAGTCCCCTTGTGCTGGTCCCCATCTGCTGTGCTGTGTCCCCAGTCTCTGGTCATCCACTGTGGCTGTGTCTCTGTCATGGTCATCCCTGTACTGTGTCCGCAGTCTCTGGTCATCCCTGTACTGTGTCCGCAGTCTCATCCCTGTACTGTGTCATCTCTGGTCATCCCTGTACTGTGTCCGCAGTCTCTGGTCATCCCTGTGCTGTGTCCGCAGTCTCTGGTCATCTCCTGTACTGTGTCCGCAGTCTCCCTGGTCATCTCCTGTACTGTGTCCGCAGTCTCTGGTCATCTCCTGTACTGTGTCCGCAGTCTCTGGTCATCCCTGTACTGTGTCCGCAGTCTCTGGTCATCCCTGTACTGTGTCCGCAGTCTCTGGTCATCCCTGTACTGTGTCCGCAGTCTCTGGTCATCCCTGTACTGTGTCCGCAGTCTCTGGTCATCTCCTGTACTGTGTCCGCAGTCTCTGGTCATCCCTGTACTGTGTCCGCAGTCTCTGGTCATCCCTGTACTGTGTCCGCAGTCTCTGGTCATCCCTGTACTGTGTCCGCAGTCTCTGGTCATCCCTGTACTGTGTCCGCAGCAGTCATCCCTGTACTGTGTCATCCCTCCTGTACTGTGTCCGCAGTCTCTGGTCTCCCTGGTGTCCGCAGTCTCTGGTCATCCCTGTACTGTGTCCGCAGTCTCTGGTCATCCCTGTACTGTGTCCGCAGTCTCTGGTCTTCCCTGTACTGTGTCCGCAGTCTCTGGTCACCCTGTACTGTGTCCGCAGTCTCTGGTCATCCCTGTACTGTGTCCGCAGTCTCTGGTCATCCCTGTACTGTCCGCAGTTCTGGTCATCCTGTACTGTTTGTGTCCGCAGTCTCTGGTCATCCCTGTACTGTGTCCGCAGTCTCTGGTCATCCCTGTACTGTGTCCGCAGTCTCTGGTCATCCCTGTACTGTGTCCGCAGTCTCTGGTCATCCCTGTACTGTGTCCGCAGTCTCTGGTCATCCCTGTACTGTTAATTAGTTTGCACTACTGTACGAGTTGTTTTTTCTAAACCAAAAGCTCGATATTCAGGTTTCATTGCAGTGTTGGCACTTTGAAAGAAATAAGTTGGTTTTGGGTTGCAGTTTGGGCACTCGGGCTCAAAAAGGTTCGCCATCACTGCCCTAGTCCCTTGCCTCGCGGCAGATACGCCCCTGCCCGGCAGGCCGGATAAATGTCCTCGGGCGGGCCACATGTGGCCCCCGGTCCGTAGTTTGAGGACCCCTGATCTAGATGATGCTGGACGTCCTCCAGCCAAGAAATGAGGTGGAGCTCTCTCTGACTTGCTGCGCTTCTAATGCACATGGTGAGAAGCTCACAGTGTGCTGGAAATCAGAGGAAGCCATTTCAGTCCAGGAGAGGAGCCGTACAACTGACAAGACTGAAGGGGAGGAGCCGGTACAACTGTGCAAGACTGAAGGGGAGGAGCCAGTATACCTGTGCAAGACTGAAGGGGAGGAGCCGGTACAACTGTAAATCAAAGACGAATTCTCCTGCGCTCTAGGGCTCAGACAGGTGGCGAATAGATGGAACCAGGCCTGGAGGGATCGTCCACCAATGCATAAAGGGCTGTGCGGCTCCAAAACAAGGCTGGGGAAGCCCAATCAACACTGCAGAATGAAATGAAAACGAGAAGCGCACCAACCTTGCGCATTACCTCAGTAACCAAAATGTATTAATTGTAAAAAATATACTCACAAACAGTGAATAAAATCAGGCATGTAAGTCCTCACAGGGACTTGAAGATAACATGAGTCCCATCAGGGGAGTGGGTGTTCAGTATAGCTGACGCGTTTCGAAGGGGGTCCCTTCTTCCTCAGAGCTAACTGAACTGTGAGTGTGCTCTCTCCTATAAATACTCCTGGACTGAACCTAAGCCCTCCCCACTGGGTTGGGCAGTCTCAGGTTAGTAGGAGGGGCCAAGATATCGTCAACAGACAATCACTATTTGTAATGCCATCAGAGAGAAATAATATAGACAAACGTAAAATATAAAATATATAAAACCCCATTTTGCATACACCACTTAGTATGCATGTAATATATCAACTTTGCGATGACACCAATGGAAATGATGATGATAGATAATACATGATGAAACATAATAGATAGTAGATACTTAGTCTTATTCCATGATTCATTAGTGAGCGATGTATCAAATGGACAATTCATCCAGAGGGCTTGTCATGATGCTGGATGAGTATATAGCAAATAATGTAAAAATAAACTTAAATTGTTAGTCAATGGATGTCTTAATGGATAGGTGTCCATAGTGACCCAAACACATGTATATATATATGTAGACATATAAACCCACACACAAACCTTCAACCAGAAGCTGTGTGATGTGTGCTACCAGGCAGCTGCATGTGCTTCATGATCGGGTGATGGAGAATCCATGTCTCTGATGGATAGGATTGGATCAGTAATCTTGGATCCGTAATATTGTATAGTCAGCAGCAGAAGGAGATCTTATGCTTCCCTCTATAGCTGCAGGCTTACCCTGTGTGTGGAACGCACGCTAGTATGGCATGGTCATGACTGCGCACGCGTGGACCAACATGCACATGCGCAGTATGAGGAGGACAGGTCCGTCGGCGCGATCACGTGAGCGCGCATCACGCGCATCTGACGGCCACTCTGTGCGCGTACACCAACACCGCTCTATTGGGCAAGATACCAGACCTGCCACCCCGCCCCCATCCTCTGACGAGGCTCTAGTTGGGGGAACTGTCTGGGGATTCCCCTCTGACGAACTTGCTGTTGAGTCCACGTCATGTCCAATCAAATGGGGTGGTCAGAAGGCCCTGGCTGCCGCACTACAGAGGTGTAATATAGTGAAAGACATCAGCATGAGCATATGTATACATGTGTATACACTACATACACATGCGTGTATCACCTTAGGTGGATATGACAGTAGTTTTGCCGGTGGGTATAAATTATGAGACATATAGGCATGTGTTCACATGAACGCCATCCATGCATCATGTATAAAACATATATGATATATAATGATAAATGCAATAAGATAAAATAATAATATGATATAAGATATAAGATACAACTAAGGCTCTATACACATAATTGCACATTAGATATAGAGGTAAAAACCACGATATTAGGCGCTTAAGCACCCTAATACTGATAAAAGACATTGAAATGATACAATGATAATACTACTGATAGTGAGAAAGCCTAATATTAGGATACTATGATCCAGCATACAAGGCCATCACTTACACCTCAAACCTAAAGCAATCTATTAGTTTTCGGTTTTTGGTTTTGTTTCTTAATAGGGTGAATAGTAATAACAGCATATGTATCGAGACCCTGTGTGGAAGATATATATATTAGGTGTAACCATATAAAATAATATATATACAACAAAATATATAAAGATATGATAGAATTCATATCTATACATTTATGAAGATCGATGAACCGTGGGCTTGCAGTATGTTAACAGTCTTAGGGAGTCACTAGTTTGCACCAAACTACTAAAGGGACCATATATGTACTTGTAGTATGGTATAGTAGGATGAGAGATTATTATTGTCAGGGCTAGCAATAGGTGACCACATTCCTTACACTCAACACATTACTGATATCAGCAGTATATGTATTAGTAGATATGATTAATATAATAAATCGCAGACTGAAAATAGTGTGGAAAAAAATGGAGATGAACTAATTGTATTTTCACTACCTAGTGGCTAGATGAGAGTATGAATCTCAAGGTCATCGTTTAAACCTCTAGGAGACAAGGTACCCAATGTAAAGATCCAAAAACTTTCTCTTCTGCAGAGCTCTTGGTATCTCCTCCCCCACTATCTAAGTCCTTTGTAATTGCCTCAATTCCGAAGACTTTCAATCCATCATGATTACTCTGATGTTTTTCTTTAAAATGGCGGGGGACTGAGTATTTATCTTTTACCAATTTTATGTTGCTTTTATGCTCGCTGATGCGTGTCCTTAGGCACCGTGAGGTCCGGCCTACATATAGTAGGCCACAAGGCCATATCTACTAATCATATCTACTAATACATATACTGCTGATATCAGTAATGTGTTGAGTGTAAGGAATGTGGTCACCTATTGCTAGCCCTGACAATAATAATCTCTCATCCTACTATACCATACTACAAGTACACATATGGTCCCTTTAGTAGTTTGGTGCAAACTAGTGACTCCCTAAGACTGTTAACATACTGCAAGCCCACGGTTCATCGATCTTCATAAATGTATAGATATGAATTCTATCATATCTTTATATATTTTGTTGTATATATATTATTTTATATGGTTACACCTAATATATATATCTTCCATACAGGGTCTCGATACATATGCTGTTATTACTATTCACCCTATTAAGAAACAAAACCAAAAACCGAAAACTAATAGATTGCTTTAGGTTTGAGGTGTAAGTGATGGCCTTGTATGCTGGATCATAGTATCCTAATATTAGGCTTTCTCACTATCTAGTAGTATTATCATTGTATCATTTCAATGTCTTTTATCAGTATTAGGGTGCTTAAGCGCCTAATATCGTGGTTTTTACCTCTATATCTAATGTGCAATTATGTGTATAGAGTCTTAGTTTGTATCTTATATCTTATATCATATTATTATTTTATCTTATTGCATTTATCATTATATATCATATATGTTTTATACATGATGCATGGATGGCGTTCATGTGAACACATGCCTATATGTCTCATAATTTATACCCACCGGCAAAACTACTGTCATATCCACCTAAGGTGATACACGCATGTGTATGTAGTGTATACACATGTATACATATGCTCATGCTGATGTCTTTCACTATATTACACCTCTGTAGTGCGGCAGCCAGGGCCTTCTGACCACCCCATTTGATTGGACATGACGTGGACTCAACAGCAAGTTCGTCAGAGGGGAATCCCCAGACAGTTCCCCCAACTAGAGCCTCGTCAGAGGATGGGGGCGGGGTGGCAGGTCTGGTATCTTGCCCAATAGAGCGTGTTGGTGTACGCGCACAGAGTGGCCGTCAGATGCGCGTGATGCGCGCTCACGTGATCGCGCCGACGGACCTGTCCTCCTCATACTGCGCATGTGCATGTTGGTCCACGCGTGCGCAGTCATGACCATGCCATACTAGCGTGCGTTCCACACACAGGGTAAGCCTGCAGCTATAGAGGGAAGCATAAGATCTCCTTCTGCTGCTGACTATACAATATTACGGATCCAAGATTACTGATCCAATCCTATCCATCAGAGACATGGATTCTCCATCACCCGATCATGAAGCACATGCAGCTGCCTGGTAGCACACATCACACAGCTTCTGGTTGAAGGTTTGTGTGTGGGTTTATATGTCTACATATATATATATACATGTGTTTGGGTCACTATGGACACCTATCCATTAAGACATCCATTGACTAACAATTTAAGTTTATTTTTACATTATTTGCTATATACTCATCCAGCATCATGACAAGCCCTCTGGATGAATTGTCCATTTGATACATCGCTCACTAATGAATCATGGAATAAGACTAAGTATCTACTATCTATTATGTTTCATCATGTATTATCTATCATCATCATTTCCATTGGTGTCATCGCGAAGTTGATATATTACATGCATACTAAGTGGTGTATGCAAAATGGGGTTTTATATATTTTATATTTTACGTTTGTCTATATTATTTCTCTCTGATGGCATTACAAATAGTGATTGTCTGTTGACGATATCTTGGCCCCTCCTACTAACCTGAGACTGCCCAACCCAGTGGGGAGGGCTTAGGTTCAGTCCAG